CTGTAGAGGGTATAAAACAGCAAGAAAGGCAGGACAGGTGCTCAAAGCAAGACGTACCCCTACGGAGACGGCTGGAATAGTGATAATTAAAGCCCTTTTAATTAGAGAGTAGAGGGAGTCATGTCAGCCTGCCCTCTCAGCTGCTCAGAACACCCCGTGGGATTTACCAAAAGGGGAGGGGACAGCACGGGTGCAAAGAAATAAAATATTACCTCCACAAGAGGAGATATGACGGTCTGCACAAAGTTCACCTCCCATAGATTTTATTATACTCCATCACTGAGGACTAGAACACAGGCAGCTCAGAATTAACGATTCTAGAGAAGCGATAGGACGCTCAGATCGAGAAATATACGGGCTGGCAGTGCTGGCATGTATTAGGAGGGATGGGCAGGGGAGGCGGAACGGATCAGCTAGTTAAGCGCTTACTGGTAAATCCTTAAAACAGTCACTATGCTAGTGTGTGTGTATATATATGTATTTATTGGGGATGAGAGAGTTGGGAGAGGGAGAGGGAGGGGGGGGAGAGGGGGGGGAGAGAGGGGGGGAGGGGAGTGGGACGGGGAGAGGGGGGGGGGGGGGAGGGGGAGAGGGGTGAGGGGGGGGGGAAGGGAGAGAGGGGGGAGGGGAGAGGGGGGGGGGGGAGAGGGAGAGGGGGGGGAGAGGGAGAGGGGGGGGGAGAGGGGGAGGGGGGGGGGGGAGAAGGGGGGGGGGGGGAGGACGGGGGGGGAGGAGAGGAGGGGGGGAGAGAGAGGGCTGGGGGGGGGGAAGAGGGGAAGGGAGAGGGAGGGGGGGAGAGTGGGGGGGGGGGGAGGGGGGGGGGGGAAGGGGTAAAGAGAGGGGGGGGGGGGGAGGAGGAGGGGAAGGGGGGGGGGGGAGGGGGGGGGGGTAAAGAGGGGGGGGGGGGGGGAATGAGGGGGGGGGGGGGGGGGAAGTAGAGGGGGGGGGGGGGAAAGAGAGGGGGGGGGAAGAGAGGGGGGGGGGGGGAAGGAGGGGGGGGGGGGGGGGGGAAAGAGGGGGGGGGGGAAGAGACGAGGGGGGGGGTGGGGGGGGGGGGGGGGGGGAAAGGAGGGGGGGAAGAGGGGGGGGGGGGAGAGAGAGGGGGGGGGGAAGAGAGGGGGGGGAAGAGAGGGGGGGGGGGGAAGAGAGGGGGGAGCGGGGGGGGAAGAGAGGGGGGGGAAGAGAGGGAGGGGGGGGGGAAGAGAGGGGGGGGAGAGAAAAGGGGGGAAGAGAGGGGGGGGGGGAGGGGGGGGGGGGAAAAGGGGGGGGGGGAAAGGGAAGGGGAGAAGGGAGGGGGCATCCAAACATCAACATGACAAACACCAGCAATAGTCAAGATAACTCCAATAATTTGGGAAATCACAAATTATCATCAAAACCACAAGAACAGGCAACATCCTGAAATTGTTCTAAAAAATATATTCAAATGGCAAAATATCTTAACACTTAATGGCTCTTCCCAGAACAAGAGTCACCAAAATCCACTGCCCCACCATTGAACAGGCATCAGAAGTCCTCAGTGATCCATATTTCATTAACCCCAAACATACCATCATACATACAGGCACAAACAACATCCAGGGACAACAGGAAATTAACAACGAAATACTACTAACAGAGACTGCACAACAAAAATTTCCACAATCCAAAGTAATAATGTCTTCCCTTCTTCCAAGGAAGGACATATCAAACAATATAATCCAGCAAATCAACACAGAACTGGCAGATAAAGCCAGGCCAAATCCTCCTGGAAACCTGGACCCGAGCACTGGATGAACCACTAGCACTACTGGCTATAGGGAATTCTCTGTCGCCACATGAAAGGATAGAAACATCAAACAGGGTCGATGCTCTGGAGTAAGGAATACTAGTCTGGTATAAGGAGAAGCTACATGAAAACATCAATGCAATCAAAAAAAGGAGAGAGCCACATCTGGCTAAGAATAAGCAACTCCATCCTCACCTCTCAATCTGACATCTACAGTGTGCCTACATTGCCCCACCAGAGTCCCCATATTTCAGACCAGATATCTAGGAGATCTTACCAAGTGAGGTTGTCAACTTCCAAACCCTAAGACAAGTGCTCATCCTTGGAGACCTCAATGCTAGGACAGGAAGGGAAAAGGACCATACAAGTTCTGAAGGCAACACATACATTCTGCGCCCTGCAAGTTACTGTCATGAACTGACACAGATACAAAGAAACCGCTATGACAGAATAGCCAATAAAAAATGGAAGAAAACTGCTGAATCTATGTCGCAGTCTGGGGCTCTACATCCTCCATGGCCGCACCAAGAGAGACTCTCTGGGAAGATACGCATTAGACTCCCATGTAGGCAGCAGTGTGGTAGACTATGCCATCACAGACATGAACCCTGCACTCATCAATGCCTTTACAGTCACTCCACAAACACACCTATCAGACCACAGCCAACTACTGCTATATATTAAATCTTCAAAATAAACCATCTCCAAAACTCCACCGGACTTCTCTCTGCAACCTGCCACCATCATTTAAATGGTCTAAAGAGTCTACCACAAAATACATAGAGGTAACTGACAGACCTGACATCAAAAAACAGCTTGAAACCTTCCAAAACAACACCTATGAGGTAAGCCCACGAGGTGTGAACCAGGCAGCAAAAGATCTCCACAAAATATTACACACAATTGCAGAAAAAGCCCAGCTGAGAACGGGCTACCACAAAAAAAACATCCAACAAACAATCCATTAAATGGTTTGACAAAGAATGCAAAGCATTGAGGAACACCTTACGGACTGTCTCAAATAAACACAGAGACCCCAACAACACTGACCTAAGGATAGCCCATGGCACCCTACAGAAAAAAATGCAAACAAACCCTTAAAAGAAAAAAAACAAACACTCATCTCCAACAACCAGTTAAAAGAGGCACTTCAGGAAAATGCTTTCTGGGAGATATGGAAACATATTGGCACAGCACCCAGCAAAAATAACCCCCACATCCAAAATGGTGACACCTGGCTCAACCACTTTAAGAACCTCTACAAAGATATTCCAGAAGAGGCACCAACTATGGAACAAAAAGGCATCATCAAAAGACTAAATGATATGGAGAAAAAAAAAATCAAGGACTTTCAAAGCCCCCTGGATGTGTCGATTACACTACATGAAATAATGGAGAAAATTCAACAAGTGCAAACCAAAAAAGCCAGCGAAATGGATGGAATCCTGCCAGAGATGATTAAACACGGCTCCCCAGATATACATGATGCAATATGTAAAGTTTTCTACCTGGTCCTGAGTGCTGGTCACTACCCCAATAATGGAACCAAGAGTGGAGACCACTATGATCCAGCCAACTACAGAGGAATATGTGTCAGCAGCACACTGGGGAAAACTATTCAACAGTATCCTCCAAAAAAAAAAAAAAAAAAAGGATCCTCAACTTCCTGATGCAACACAATGTCCTCAGTAGAAAGCCAGGCAGGTTTCATGCCAAACCACCGCACTACAGACCACATCTACACTCTGCTTCATCATCTCATCAAGAACCATGTCCACAATATAAAACATGGAAAGATATTTGCCTGTTTTGTGGACTTAAAGAAGGCCTTTGACTATGGCACCCAGGCCTGTTCCTGAAACTATTAGAGTGGAATAGAAGGGAAAAACATATGACGTCATCAAGAGTTCAGATACCAAGAACATCTGCAGTGTAAAGGTCAATGGGGAAAGAACAGGGCACTTCCGGCAGGCCCTTGGAGTCAGACAGGGCTGAAGCCTAAGTCCAACCCTCTTCAATATCTACATCAATGAACTGGCTGCAGCTCTAGAATCCTCCCCAGCACATGGACTGGCTCTACGTGACACCAAGGTGAAGTTCTGCTGTTCCTGCTGTATGCGGAAGACCTCCTACTACTGTTACCAACAGAGAAAGGCCTACAAGACAGCCTGGAAGTGCAGGAGAAATACAGTGCCAAATGGGCACTACCTATCAATTCAAATAAAACAAAACTCATGGTGTTCCAAAGGAAGAACACAAAACCAACTAAGGGACCTGTACATTAAACAAATGCACTCTTGATGAATCCCACAGCTACACATACCTTGGCCTTATTTATTTCAGGTACTTATATAGCACCATCAATTTACGCGCGCTTTACATATTATATTGTACATTCACAATCAGTCCCTAACCCTCAAGGGGCGTACAATCTAAGGTCCCCAACTCACATTCATACATACACATACTAGGGCCAATTTAGACAGGAGCCAGTTAACCTACCAGCATGTCTTTGGAGTGTAGGAGGAAACTGCAGTACCTGGAGGAAACCCACGCAGGCACAGGGAGAACATGCAAACTCCCAGGCAGGTGGTGCCGTGTGGTTGGGATTCGAACCAACAACCTTAGTGCTGCCAGGCGGAAGGGCTAACCATTAAGCCACTGTGCTGCCCCCCAGGCCTTGACATTAACCAATCCGGAAGTTTCAAGCCAGCCATAGAAGCCCTGAAAGACAAGGCATGCAGCAGAGCCTTGTACGCCACCAGGAGACAGCTGTACCACCTAAAACCACCAGTAAGAGTCTGGCTTAGAAATTTTTAAGCGTTATCACCCCAATCCTTTATGGAAGTGAAGTTTGGGGTCCTGTCACCTACCCAGACCATCCAAATGGGACTCCAGCCCACCAGAAATATTTCACTTGGAATTCTACAAGCACCTCCCCCAAGTCCATTGGAGCACCTCCAACAGTGCTTGCCAATCTGAGCTGGGCAGATTTCCTTTGCTTCTCGCTTTACAGAAGAGGGCGCAATCATACTGGGGCCATCTAAAAAAACATCAGATCCTAACTCATACCACCATAAGGCCCTACTGACCAATAAGGGACAAGTCAAAACCATGTGGCCTGCAACAATTCATCAGCGCCTTGTGTATCCCAAACGCCCAACAAACCTGGCCAGACAAAACCTTAAATAAAAAACATAATGAATGATTCCCAAGAAAAATATGTTGAGAAATGAAATAGCAAACTCAAGGAAACGGTTTTTGCCAGTGGTGTGACCAGGGGGTCCTGGAGGATGAGGACCATTTCCTGCTACAGTGCCCTAACTACTCATCATTGATGGACACTCACTTCCAGAGACTCTCCACTCCAGGGTAGGACTGACAACTCATGGGGCCCCCAGGCAATAGGGGATCATGGGGGCCCGTGTCCTTGACCACATTCAAATCACAACCCAAAAAAGCCTATAAAAAAGGTACCAGGGGCATTTCATGGGGCCCTCTAATGACCCCGGGCCCTCAGGCAGTGCCCGAGTGCTCGAATGGTCGGTATACCCCTGCTCCACTCTCATCCCGGACTTCACTTCTATAGAAGAGAGGAGGAAGCCCCATATTCTACTGTGAGAAGAGGAGCCAATGGTGGAAATAGATGCACAATATGTGACAGCATGCCCACATATTCAAAAACAGAAATCACTGAGTTGAAAAAAGGGACACCCCCCCCCCCCCCGTGTTGTCACTATTTTGTTGAACCCCCTTTTGCTTCAATTCCAGCCTTTAGTCTGTTGGGATTTGTCTCTACTAACTTTGCACATCTAGACTTTGCGATATTCTCCCGCTCTTCTTTGCAGAACTGCTCAAGTTCCATTAAATTTGATGGTGACCATTTGTGGACGGCAGTCTTCAAGTCATTCCACAGATTTTCAGTGGGGTTGAAGTCTGGGCTCTGACTAGGCCATGCAAAGACATTCACCTTCAACCACTGTGGGCTTTGGCTGATTGTCATGTTGGAAGGTAAACCTTCTTCCCATTGACAACTTTCTGACAGAGGGTAGCAGATTTTCCCCTAGAACGTGATGGTACTTTGCCCCAACAATTTTTCCTTCTATCCTGACAAGTGCTCCAGTCTCTGTTGCAGAAACCCCCCATAACAGGATATCACCCCCCTCAATAAGAGGATATTCCCCCCCCTCCATGCTGTACTGTAGAATGGTGGGATTTGGATGGGGAGCTGGGTTGGATTTCCACCAATTATATCATTTAGTGCTGAGGCCAAATCATTCCATTTCAGTCTCATCTAACCAGAGCACCTTCTTCCATGTGGCCTCAGAATCTTCAAGGAGCATTTTGGCAAAGCTCGGTAGTGACTGCATTTGGTCTTTCTTGAGGAGCGGCATTTTTCTTGCACCCCTCCCATACAAGCCCCATTTGTGGAGGATTTGTGATCTTGTTGTCACATACACACCATGACCACTCTTTGTCATCAATTCCTGACACGGCTTCAGAGTTGCTGGAGGCCTCTTGGTGCCTCTCTGACCTGTTTCCTCCTGGCTCTTTCATCCAGTTTGGAGCGATGTCCTGATCCAAGGAGGGTCTGTGTTCTACCAAATACCTTCCGCTTCTTAAAGGATAAGTTTCACCTTTCAACAAAAATAATAAATGCACATTTTTTTGCAGGTAAAAAAAAAAAAAGTGCATTTATTTATTTTGTCTGCAGGAGCCTGGAAAGCATTGCATCAGCGATCAGAAGATTGCTGGTGCCATGCAGGTCTCCTGCAGACCTGCCAGAATATCTGCTTGCCATACGGGGTGTATGGAATGTATGGGCTGTACAGGCAAGCAGATATACTGACAGGAAGAATCAGTGAACTACCACGATGCTCCACAGCACCATGGTAGTTCATTGAGGACCAGGGGCGGACTGACAACTCATGGGGCCCCCCAGGCAATAGGGGATCATGGGGCCCCTGTGTCCTTGCCCACACTCAAAGCACACCCAAAAAAGCCTATAAAAAGGTACCAGGGACATTTCCTGGGGCCCCCTACTGACCCCGGGCCCTCGAATGGTCAGTCCGCCCCTGTTGAGGACTACAAGCTGACAGCCGCTAAGGCTGTCAGGACTTGTAGTCACTCATTCACAGAAGACTGTGAATGAGTGATGCTGCTGTGTGGGCGGAGCCCTGCATGGCCACCTTTTTTTCAAATTTGACAGCTAGCGAGAGGGGAGAAGATCCCCCGCTAGCTGTCAAAGCGGGGATCGGAGGGGAGCGGGGGCAGGTCAGATCATAACATGTTGCACCCTGAATATGGGTGTGACATGTAACATGTTACGAAAGGTGAACTGTTCCTTTAATAATAGACTTCACTCTGCTTCTAGGCATTGATAAAGCCTTTGATATGTTTTTGTATCCATCTCCTGACTTGTGCCTGTCCACAACTTTATCCCAGAGATCTTCTGACAGTGCCTTGCCATCCATCGTTGATTGTTTGCTTCATTTGCACTACCGGGACTGAAATACTCCAGGAAAGCACTTTTCAAGCGAAGCCAATCAAAATGATCACAGCTGAAAGTCAGACAGCTTTTGTGTGTTATTAAGAAGGTGATTAGCTACACTTGATTGTGTTTACAAGCAGGGGCAGACTGACAACTCATGGGGCCCACGGGCAATAGGGGATCATGGGGCCCCTGTGTCCTCGCCCACACCCAAAAAAAGCCTATGAAAAAGCCAACGAAAGATACCAGGGGCATCTCAAGGCGCCCCCTACTGACCCCGGACCCTCGGGGAGTGCTCGAATGATTAGTCCGCCCCTGCTTACAAGTCATTTTTAGGAGGGGGGGGGTGACCCTTTCTCCAACTTAACGATTCTGTTTCTGTATTTTTTTTTTTTTCTGACATGTTGGTGTTATATCTTTCACTTTGATGTTATAAGTTGCACTAAGCAAATACAGCTGAATAAAACAAAAACTGTGTCTGTCTTCATTTCAGGCTGCAAAGCAACAAAATGTGAGTATTTTTTTTATTGCAGATATTTATATAGTGCTGATAATTTACATAGCGCTTTACCTATTGTACCTTCACATCATTCCATGCCCTCAAGGAGCGTACAAGAGAGATCCCTATCTCACACACATACTAGGGACAATTAGACAAAAGTCAATTAACCTACCAGCATGTCTTTTGAAATGTGGGAGGAAACCAGAGCACAGGGAGAACATGCAGGTTAAATATCCTGGGTGGAATTCGAACCAAGGATCCCAATGCTGCGTGGCAAGAGTGCTAAGCCACTGTGCTGCATATATATACATACATTTGAATGTAACAAAAACATTATATAATAAATAAAAAAAAAAAAATATATTTTTATTTTTTCCCCCTTTCTTTTGAGGGGGGGGGTGGTTGTTTGTTATATTATATATAAAATTTATTTTACTTCCCCCCCGTCCCCCTTTTTTTTTTTTTTGAGGGGGGGAGTTGTTTGTTTTATTAACCACCGGCCAACCGTGCTATAGCCAAAAGATGGCTACAGCACCGTCGGCTAGTTTTGGAAGGGTATCCATCAGAGCTGCCCTTTACCATGTGATCAGCTGTGTCCAATCACAGCTGACCACAGCATAACAGGAAATGTCGGTTATTGGCAGTCCTCTCCTTACAATGACAGCGCGTGGCAAGAGGATGCAAAGAGGGGACCATCTGCACTGATGATCAGTGTTTGTCCTGATTATCAGTGCAGCCTCATCAGCGCACATCAGTGAAGGAAAAAGAAAAAAAAAATCATTTAAACTTTATAACATACATATACATACACTAAAGATGCCATGTGAATATAAAAAAATTGTATACCATGATACTATAGTCTTTAATCAACCTATTCAAGACTATAATCTATATATAAATAATTTATGTATATAGTGCTATATATATATATGTATTTTTTTTAGATTTTATATAAATATATATATATATATATATATATATACTAAATATATATACACAAAATAGGAAAAAAAATTATAATAAATAATATACATTATATATAATATTTATATTTTTTTATTATTATTATTTCCTATTTTGTTTATTAGATATATTTTTTTTTTTTTTAATTATAATTTTTTTTCCTATTTTGTTATATATATATATATATATCAAAATAGGAAAAAAATATAATAATAAAAATATATATATATTTTTTTTTTTTATTATTATTATAATTTTTTCCTATTTTGTGTTTTTATATATATATATATATATATATATATTATATATATATATATATATAATATAACAAAATAGGAAAAAATTATAATAAAAAATATATATATTTTTTTTTTTTTTTATTATTATTATAATTTTTTTCCTATTTTGTTATATAATTTAAAAAAAAAAAAATTTATATATATATATATATTATATATATATATATATTATATTTTTTATATATTTAATATATATATTTTATTTCCTATTTTATATAAATATATTTTTTTTCCTATTTTGAGAAATATATATTATAATTTTAAATATATATATTATATTATATATATATAATTATTTTTTTTCTATTTGTGTAATATAAATATTTATTCTATTTTGTACTTTATATTCTCTCTCAGATCAGTCCTCGGCCTGTAGAATGGCGGGGTTTGGACTGCAGACAAATCAGAACTGGGCAGATGACCAGTTTTCACTGGATCGCCGGCAACACCAAACCATTTCTGATGATGGTAAGACGGGCAGAGCGCAGGACACCGGGACTTGGCGGCTATGTGGCGTTCTGCAGATTTCCATCTACAAGATTTCGGTATCTCTGGCCTCCAGTGGCCCAGCCCAGCGTGTCTAAACATTGCAAACCTGTAGCTGGGACCCGGGGGAGGGAGGGGGAGGCGCATGGTGCACATTCCTGACATGTCCCAGAGATTGCTCACCTTCCAGACACACCCAGGACTGGGGGGGGGGGGCGCCCGTTATGTATTATATACTGCACCCTGCACCCGTCCATCCTTCATAGGACTTCATCTCAGGGATCAGATTTTCTGTCTCCTCTCCTGGAATCCTATCTGTCCATTTACCAGAAATAAAATCCAGCCCATTACCGGTCTGGTCCATATCTGGAGACGGTCAATAACGGACGCCCCCGCTAAATCCCATCCAATACAAAGCCGCCAGACACCATTCAGCGCGACGCTCGGCCAGGGATGGACTGACAACTCATGGGGCCCCCGGACAATAGGAAATCATGGGGCCCCCGGACAATAGGGAAATCATGGGGCCCCCGGGCAATAGGAACTCCATCGGGGCCCCTGCGCTCGGCGCACAGCGACTACAGATGCATTGAAAGCCAAAAGACAACAAAGTAACATTTTGCAACATTAGTTTCCTTTTTTATATTTTTGTTCCCTCCCTTACTTTCATCTGGTGATCCTGCGAACAGTGGCAGGTTCACAAGTGCAGCTGAGGGAGGAGTGCAGCTCGAGGAGGGGGGGGGGGATTGGGGTAGTAAAACTGGGCAGTTGAGCCGTGTTTTTTACCATCGCCAATCACCCGCCTGAACAAGGGCACGCAGAAGCTCACGTGCCACAAGGAACTACACAGCAATGTTGCATTCATCAAGTGTCACTGCTGCAGACGGCGAACCCTGCAACTCCATGCAATGCACGCAGCTGCAGCGCGGTGGTGTTGCCTCTGAAGTGCCCTCTGAAAAGTGACCCACTGTGCATCACTTTTCAGAGGTGAGGCACACATGTGAAGGAGCCCGAACACAAACAGGTTCCTCTCACATCGGCGGGAGCTCCAGGTAAGTCTACAGGCAGGTGAATGTGCGTCCGTTCACATTCGTGTTCATCCGCACTGCCGTTCCCCCCCCAATGTTCTCACTTCCAATGCAGGGCTTTGGGCTCTGCATTGGCCATGATGACATCGAAGGATCTGGGTCCACCAGAACACATGGAAGAAGATGCCGGGGGGGGATGTAAAGTTGACCGTACATGGTGTCGCCGTACACAATGTGGAGGATGACCCTTGAGGCTCATTTACACGTGCAACACCCTCTGATCAGTGATTTGCGGTTTGGATCACTTTTCAAAGAGCGATCGGACTGCAGATCGGTGCTCAGAGGTGTTTGACGGGCGAGGTGATGTCAGATCCTCGCAGATCGATTGTAAATGCCGCACCACCTTGCGCACAACTGCATGCCTTGCACGGCCCCACAGAGCTCCACGAGTCGCAGAGGGAGGCGGCAGGACGCTCACATTTTTGCTGCAGCTGCAAAGCGTGGAATTGTGGGCGTGGCACGTGTACAGCTGTGAGCAGTTGATTGTCAGTGTTCAGGAGGGTGGTCAGGGGGTGAGACCCCCCCCAAATATCTGTATTACTGACCATGGAGGTGGGTGGGGGATGGGGGGGTGTCACTGGCAATCCCGACACCTATATTATTATTTGCTGGCAGGCAGGGAGGTGTCACCCCATAGGGATGTCCAGGACAGTGGGCGGGGGATGTCACTGTCCTGCTGTAGGGTGTCACTGGAAAAGTCACCTCATAGGGATGGCAGGGAGGAAGGGGTGTCACTGGCTATGATTGAGGGAGACAAGGTGACACATGAGTCCATGCATCAAGTGTTACCCTCCCCCCCCCCCCCCACACCAATCCCCAGTAATGTCAGGATTGGGGATACCAGGAAATGCAACAGGACCCCCAATTCCTGGGGGGGTGTACAGAGATAACACAGCTCCCTCATTAACCCCCCCCCCCCAATGTCTATATTATTATTTGCTGTAGATGGGAGATGTCACCCCATAGGGATGTCAGCATCTTATTGAGGTGACGCCATGCATTGAATGTCAACCCCCCCCCCCCCCCCCCAATCACTGGGAATGTCAGGACTGGGGACACGAGGAAATGCATGACCCCCCAATTCCTGGGGTGCACAGAGATAACACAGCTCCATCTGACCCCCCCCCCCCCCCATGTATATATCAATATGTGCTGCAGACAGGAGATAACACTCCATAGAGATGAATAGGGATGTCCATGACGGTGGGGGGGATGGGGAGGGTGTCACTGACAATCCCCCCCTAAAGTCTGTATTATTATATGCTGCAGGCAGGGAGAGATCACCCCATTGTGGGTTTATGCATCAGGCGTCACCCTCCTCCCCTCCCCAGGAATGTCAGGAGTGGGGACAGCAGGAAATGCAAAAGGACCCCCCTAATTCCTGGGGTGCATTAGAGATAACACAGCTCCTTCTTACAGACCCCCCCCCCCCCGCCCCCAAATGTCTATATTATTTGCTGCAGACAGGGAGATGTCACCCCATAGGGATTTCCATATCTGTGGTGGGGGGGTGTCACTGTCTGCAGATGACACTGTCACCCCCCCCCCATGTATATATACATTTTCCTTGCAGGTGGGAGATGTCACTCCATAGGGATGTCCATGACGGTGGGGGGAGGGGGGGGGGGGGGGGGGGGGGGGGGGGGGGGGGGGGGGGGGGGGGGGGGGGGGGGGGGGGGGGGGGGGGAGGGGGAGAGGCGTGAGATGCCACTGGCAGAATCTTGAAGAGATAAGGTGACACCTGAGGAGTCCATGCATCAAGTGTCCCCCCCTCCCCTCCTCCAAACCCCAGGAATGTCAGGAGTGGGGACACCAGGAAATGCAACAGGACCCCCCAATTCCTGGGATGCAGCGATAACACTCCATTTTGTAAGCCCCCCCCCCTTCCCCCACCCACGTCTATGTTAATATCTGCTGCAGGCAGAAGGTGTCACCCCATAGGAATGAATAGGAATATCCATGGTAGTGGGTGGGGAATGGGGGGGGGGGTCACTGTCTTGCAGATGTCACTTTCAGCCCCCCCATGAATTATTTGCTGCAGGCAAGGGGATGTCACCCCCATAAGGATGTCCATGGTGGGGGGTGGGGGTGGGGGGGGGGGGGGGTGTCTGTGATTGCTGCACACAAGGTGACACCTGAAGAGTCCATGCATCAAGTGGCCCCCCACCCAATCCTCCGGAATGTCAGAACCGGGACACCAGGAAATGCAACAGGACCCCCAATTCCTGGGGGAGGTGTACAGAGATAAGAGCCCCCCTAAAACTCCAAAATGAATATATTTATATTTGCTGCAGTCAGAAGGTGTCACCCCATAGGGATGAATAGGGATGTCCATGGTAGTGGGTGGGGGATGGGGTGTCACTGCCCTGCAGATGTCACTGTCAACCCCCCCCCATGTATTATTTGCTGCAATCAGGGGGATGTCACCCCATAAGGATGTCCATGGTGGGGGATGGGGGGGGTGTCTGTGATTGGTGGAGACAAGGTGACACCTGAGGAGTCCATGCATCAAGTGTTCCCCCTCCCCTCCTCCAATCCCCAGGAATGTCAGGAGTGGGGACACCAGAGATAGGGGTCCCCCTTAAAGCCCCCCGACACTTACTCTGCAATGGGGGTCCCGTTGACTGCCGTGCCATCCGGGGTGGGGTTCAGCTGGATGGGAAGCGGCTTCTTCTTCGGCATTTTGTGTCCTGAGGCCGCCTGGCTGCTCCCTGACTGCATAGAGCGCTGATCCCGATCCTCCTCCAGTCACTGCATCCGGGGGGCGGGGACTAGCGCGCTACATTGTATCTCTGCTAGCAGCAGCCAATGGGAGGACACGCCCGGACAGACAGAGGGACCTCGGAAATACGTCACACCAGCCTGAGCCACAGAGAGCTTCCAGCGCCCCCTAACGGCCGGCCGAGGGATGGTCAGTCCCATCAGACACAGTGGAGGAAACCTTCTACTCCGCTGATTGGAATTGTTACAATGTTACCATCAATGCAACACGAGAAATGATACAGGAAATAAATACAAACATCCCACCATGAATGAATACAAACATCCCACCATGAATGAATACAAACATCCCACCATGAATGAACACAAAACATCCCACCAAGAATGAACACAAAACATCCCACCAAGAATGAACACAAAACATCCCACCAAGAATGAACACAAAACATCCCACCATGAATGAACACAAAACATCCCACCAAGAATGAACACAAAACATCCCACCATGAATGAATACAAAACATCCCACCAAGAATAATACAAAACATCCCACCAAGAATGAATACAAAAACATCCCACCAAGAATGAATACAAACATCCCACCATGAATGAACACAAAACATCCCACCATGAATGAATACAAAACATCCCACCATGAATGAACACAAAACATCCCACCAAGAATGAATACAAAACATCCCACCATGAATGAACACAAAACATCCCACCAAGAATGAATACAAAACATCCCACCATGAATGAACACAAAACATCCCACCAAGAATGAATACTAACATCCCACCAAGAATGAATACAAAACATCCCACCATGAATGAACACAAACATCCCACCAAGAATGAATACAAAATCCCACCAATATGAAATACAAACATCCCACCAAAAATAAATACAAAAAAAAACATCCCACCATGAATGAATACAAAACATCCCACCATGAATGAATACAAAACATCCCACCAGAAATAAAATACAAAAAAAACATCCCACCATGAATGAATACAAACATCCCAAACATGAACACAAACCCACCATGAATGAATACAAACATCCCACCAAAAATAAATACAAAAAAACATCCCACCATGAATGAATACAAACATCCCACCATGAATGAACACAAAACAATGAATGAATACAAAACATCCCACCAAGAATGAAACAAAAAATACAAGAATGAATAAAAAAAAAAAAAAAAAAAAAAAAAAAAAAAAAAAAAAAAAAAAAAAAAAAAAAAAAAAAAAAAAAAAAAAAAAAAAAAAAAAAAAAAAAAAAAAAAAAAAAAAAAAAAAAAAAAAAAAAAAAAAAAAAAAAAAAAAAAAAAAAAAAAAAAAAAAAAAAAAAAAAAAAAAAAAAAAAAAAAAAAAAAAAAAAAAAAAAAAAAAAAAAAAAAAAAAAAAAAAAAAAAAAAAAAAAAAAAAAAAAAAAAAAAAAAAAAAAAAAAAAAAAAAAAAAAAAAAAAAAAAAAAAAAAAAAAAAAAAAAAAAAAAAAAAAAAAAAAAAAAAAAAAAAAAAAAAAAAAAAAAAAAAAAAAAAAAAAAAAAAAAAAAAAAAAAAAAAAAAAAAAAAAAAAAAAAAATAAAAAAAAAAAAAAAAAAAAAAAAAAAAAAAAAAAAAAAAAAAAAAAAAAAAAAAAAAAAAAAAAAAAAAAAAAAAAAAAAAAA